CTATCTGCATTTGAATGTCTCTAATATAACTTCTTTTCTAATTTTGGATCAAATGGATATAATCATCCATTGAATACACATCTTGGTCAAAAATTTTAAAATAAATATGAAACAAATTATGTGAGTTTATTATTTTCTGAATGGTGGAAAAGGTTGACATTCAAAAAGTTAAAGAATAAGAATGTGCAGTGAATTGTGAAAAAATAAAATCATCATTTATGAAACTGAAAATCATTAAAAATATGGGAAGAATGAAATGATTTTTGCATTAAAAATGATTGAAGTATGAAATTATAAAATGAAAGAAAAGCATGCTGGGAATGATACCTCTATATGTGAGATGAGCTGTCGACCTGTCATCACCAAGTACACATGTATAGTCTCCTTCATCATCATCAGAGACATCATAAATTATTAAAGAACGCCTCTTTCCGACACTTTCAATATCATATTTATCAGAGGGACCAAGCTCAACAGTTTCCTTTAACCAATTAACATGAGCATTTTCATCTGAAACCTGGCACTCAAATTTAACAGTTTCTCCTCCAGCAACCTCCATTGGACAGAGAGGAACTAATATCTGCATTTTGGTTTCTGGTAGAAGAAAAATGAGTTCTAGGTGAGGAGCCATGTGACTGCGCAAACATGTGCTTGAAAGATAACAATATAAGAAGCCAGGAATACATAAACTGGTATATCACAACACTTGGAAAAATTACTATATGATAGACACAAAACAAACATATAAATCAAGACATGAGAAAGCTGAGAAACCTAAGAAAAAAATAGGTGTCCCATACTAGTAAATCTACAGACATGAGGTGATTCATACAAACTAAATGAAGCCTTTCTGTATCTGCAACTATATCAAGAAATCACAAGATCCATGATTGTACTAAGTCTCCAAATCACATTATATTCCTACTTCACACTAACAGTGGAGTATACAACCACCAGCATTGACACAGTGGCAAACAAAAAAATCCCATATACATGCAACTAAAAAAAACAATCTCCACTGTTATTTGCAACCTTGTAGACCAATTACTGCCAAACTCACCATACACAAGTTGAGATGTACATTTTTTATCTTCAACAACAGCTGAGTACGACCCTTCATCCTCAGCTGTAGCACCATGCACAAGCAGCGACCTGTGCCGACCTTCAACTTTAATCTCATATTTCTCAGAAGGCATAATTTCAGTATCATTTTTATACCATTTAGTAACAGCTTTAGCATCAGAAATTTCACAGACGAATTTCACAGTCTCTTTATCTTGGACTTTCACTGATTGTATTTCTTTCAGGAAAGTCACAGGTGCTGTAAAATAATTATTTTCATCAACTTTTGACAACATTTTAAGCCATATTTGAAAACCATTAAATAGCACATTCCGTGAAGCATTTAACAAACCTCTATGCTAAACAACCAGTGCATGATAGGTTCCAAAACTTAACGTCTTAACATGATGCACAACACAGTGCCACTCAAGGAGCCACTCGGGGTACTGTAAAAGAGGACTAGTGTTTCTGCTGGAAGAAGATGCTCTATAGATCTACAAAGCTTCATGAAGACGTCAAAGCTAATTGCCTATATGCCCAAAAGTTTGCCTTGAGTTCTTAGACAAATACAGATAATCCCTATGAAATTCTAATACATGTATGTTTTTGAAGCAATTTCTGTACCTTGAATTTGAGTGCACTCTAAACCCAGACATTAAGGTCTTATATACAATTTTTAAAAATTGTGAAAAAAATTTTCAGTATTGACAATAACTTGCCATATACCGTAAAATCTGTATTAGAAGCCGCATCCCTAATAGAAGTCGCATCCATTCTATTTGAATAGTTGAGAACCAAAAATTCATCATTTCTCATATGTGCAGATGCTCTAATAGAAGCCGCATCCCCTCTGTTGCATTGTACCATTTTAATAGAAGCCGCGGCTTCTAATACAGATTTTACAGTACTTAATTTCCCAGCAAAAACAAGTCTCTATGACTAAATACAAGAAGTGATCATTTTAAATATGATAAAAAAGATCTGTGTGCTGAGATAACATTTCTCAAAGTTTGAATAGATAAGGAAATTAAAATACCTTGTTTATTTATAACACAATAAAAGAAAAATATGCTATTATCATTAATAAAAGCAATATTTTCCTGTTAGTAAAATTAGAAAAGACACACATTAGACTGTGAGTCAAAACACACTCAAAACATCGTAAAGTAAAATCAACAAATTTCATCAGTGACTTTATACAATGTACCACAAATTGATTTCTGCATTTAGAAATTTAAATTATTTTAATTTCTGATCAACAATTTGCCAATTTCTATAAACACAGGTTCAAATTTGTGATTTCTTTAAAAGCAGTGTTAACACACACAATAGTGCAAGCAGAGAAAAATTCTCCCATACCTTTGTAAAAGAGTTCAGCTGCAGTTTTGTCCTCATCAACTGTACATGTGTAATCTGCTTCATCATCAGATGAAATATTATGGATTGTGAGAGAGCGTCTTCTTCCTTCCACTTTGATTTCATACTTCTCAGATGGTTCAATTTCATCCCCATCTTTAAACCATGTAGCCTTACCAGTCTCATCTGAGACAACACACTCAAACATTACAGTCTGCTCAGCAGTTGCCTCTTTGGTCTCAATTCCATCGACAATGGTCACTTTGGTCTTGATTGGTTCCACTTCTACAAAGTAAAAAACAAAAAACACTCAACAAATAAACAATTTTTTGGTATTTTTTCAAAGAATTTGATTAAAACCAGTAGGTTATGAATAACTATGTTTATTTGGTTCCAATCTGATCAAAATAAGAACCTGGTTGGCTTAATTTTTTTTTATATATAATTACTATAATTATTATTCATTTTAATTATTTTTTTTTAATTTATAACAAAAAAAAATTAAGCCAACCAGGATTTTATTTTAATCGGATTGATTTGGTTCAAAATTAAAAAAAAAAATTACAGAAAAATACATGAAATTGTGCAAAATTTGTACCAAAATTCTGATGGGGAAAATTCTGGCATTCAAAAGGTAAATATTGGCAAGTTGAGTAATTTTTGGACAAAACACTGGAAGACTAAAGTTTATAGAGAATGTATTCATATCAACTTTCCACTTGAAATAATGTGATATTAGATTAATTGATTACCCATACGCACAAATGCTTTTATTAATATCACTTATTCAAAGCAGCTGTTAAGCCAATCGAAATGTTACTTTATGCATAATTTACTACCTTCATCCTCAGCCGTAGCACCATGCACAAGCAGTGACCTGTGCCGGCTTTCAACTTTAATCTCATATTTCTCAGAAGGCATAAGCAGCTGTTAAGCCAAGCGAATGTTGACTTTGTGCATAATTTTTGCAAAGCTAAACTACTATTAAATTTTAAAATCAAGATATTCCAATTGATTGTCAATTGTTGCATGCAGTAATAAACTAACCTTCCACAAGCAGTTCAGCAGTAGTTTGTAACTCTCCAAGTTGACAGGTATACTCGGCTTCATCCAAAATAGTTGTATCTTTGACAACAAGAGAGCATCGTCTTCCGACTTTCTCAATGATGAATCTTTCATCACCTGGCTCGATAATCTGACCATCTTTCATCCACGTCACCTCAGCTCTTTCATCCGTCACTTCACAAACAAGTTGGGCAGTGTCTTTTTCAACAACTTCAACATCTTTCAACGGCTTTGCGAAAGCAAACGTGGGTACTTCACTGTCTTCTGGAATTGTCTCTCTTGCTAATGCCATCACCTGTGGTCTGTCAGCATGTACTTCTTGTAGCTTTACAGGTGCTGCAATAGTTTCCTCAGCTAGGACCTCTTCCCAACCTTTAAGCTTAGGTAAGTCTAATTCTTTATCCCCTTGCTGTTTCAGCCACTCAATATGTTTTAAGATTACACGGAAGTCATGAATACCATGTTCTAATAGCACTTTCTCATAGTCTTTTGGATCCACATCTTTCAGAAGTTCATTGATGTCAATTTCTTCAGCCTCCATACGTGCTATTTCGGAAGGTCGTCTACGAAAAGAAAGTAAGTTAGTAAATAAGTAAGTACCACAGATTATTTGCACTGTATTCAACATAACGTAATCTGGTTAATTTTTGCTGCTATAAATTTTTGTGATTGGATCATTTTATGGCATTCATGAAAACAAAATGCTGTAAAAGTTGCAATACTAATGGTAACCGAGAAATTTTCAATGCTACAAAATGTCATGATGTTCACAGACTTGCAAAAATTTGTCACTAAATTATTACAGTTTACAATACTTTTCATGAGTGGATGTTTGGAAATGAATGTGGATACAGGTGTTTATGAATTGGTAAATTATATTATTTTCGATTTATACAGTTAAGGATCAGATTTTTTTCAGGACAGTTATAAACCTGGTACAGCACATTTTGATTTGCCACATAATACACCTTTAGCATTCTCATCAATATATATAGAGTATTACAACATGCTGACATGATGTTCTTCCATGTTCTCAATCATCAAGTACTCTACTGCAAACATTATACAAAAACCTGTGAAAATGTTCAGGCAAACACAAAATAAAATAAAATTCAATGGATAATTACCTTTTCAGAACTTGGGTATATTGTGGTTCTTCTTCTGGTTTAACCTCAACCAACAATGGTACATTAGTTTTATCAGCACCGACCTCATTCTCAATCTTAACTGTGTATTTCCCAGAAGAATTACTTCGAGTTTCCTTAACAATCAACACATGCTCCTCTGTCTCTTCATCATATTTAAGTGTAAACTCTCTTCCATCTGTGAGTTGTCTCCATCCTTTGTTCCATGTAACTTTAGGAGGAGGATATCCACCGACTTTACAACGAAACTCAGCAGGTTCACCTAAAAGCATTGAGGAGTATTCATGTGAATACAAAATACAGTGAGCTCAAATTAATTATTAATTGCGTCATTAACCATTTTACTCCATTTACACTTATTCCTGTGATCACGTGACTTGGTATTTACATAAATTAAAAAAAAATTGCATATTTTCAAAGTTTGAAACAGGATCTTTATTATGGTATATAACATGTATGGGTAAAATGTATGTTTCAGTCTGTGTACTAAGGCCAAACAATTGAACCAGCGAACATGTGCTAACCCTTTAAATCTCATTATTTGAGCAAGTTTTCCTTTAATGTAAAACATTTAACAAAATCAAATCACTATAAAATTATTTAAGTTACTAAGAGCACATTTGCTTAAAGAGAACTCAAATGACAAAGTCATGGTGAGAGTCAGTTAATCATGTATATTTTTTGAGTGTCTATGAGTGAATATTGCAAAATATATAACGATCAAATAATTAACTCGTAATAGTCTCACCTTCAATAGATGTTGTTTTCACTGGCTCTTGAATAAAGAATGGAGGTTCTTTAGGTTTGTCAGGATCAATTGGTATTTCAGCCTGTACTGTCTCAACTTTCTTTGGTTTAATTAGGAATTCAGCAGCAGCCTCTTCTGGTGCTATTTTAAAAATTGTAAACAAATTGTAAACACTTAATAATAAACAGAAGAAATTCAATAGTAAAAGTGGATATTGTATTTGAAACTAGAATCACCTACAGTCGATTTTAACAAGTTCCTGTGTTTTTATGTTTTGTCACCTGGAACAAATAAAGCCACATCATTTTTTTCCAAAAAACTGTGATTAATACTTGAACCCCCAAAAAATTTGCAAATTAATTATAGGAAAATACACAAAAAAATATTTAGTTCAAGAGTTTATATTTACTAAAGAAGAATTATGAAAATGAAATTGATATATGGTCAAGAATAGAAACACCCAGAATATTTTGCAGTCCAGTGAACCATGCTTGTTGTACTTTCTACATTATGCAGTGAATGATTGTTCATGATAGCGATCATTATCAAAGTTAAGATGGGTTTTGTTAGCTGTTAACAACTAAACTTTATGTATATTGATTATCAGGCATGTAACAGCAACATAAAAGCCTGAATACACTTCTAAAATGGATGAAATGATCTTCTGCACAAATGGTCATATTCAGTCAGTGATACATAATATCTTACTTTCTATTAAGACTTCAGCAGCGCATTCAGTTTTACCAACAGGATTCTTTGCCCTGCATGTGTACTCTGCATCATCATCCAAGTTGACATTTGCAATGATCAAAGTACACTTATTACCATCACGTTTAGCGTAAATGTGACGACTGTTTTTGATTTCACAATCATCCTTATACCTATAATAAAGAAAACCTTTATGTGAGGCAATGTGACTGTGATTTGAGAATTCTCTGGATGTGAGTTACTCATGCGTCCATGTGCCGGTATGTGTAGCAGCAATATTTCAACTGTGAAGAAACCATACACACCTACAGTAGACACTAAATCCTAGAAGATAACATTTATACTGTCATGAAATTAACTAATTAATTTGCATAAATTAATACAATAGACAGTTTAACTCACCAAGTAACTTCAGGTTCAGGCTTGCCAGTAACAAGACATTCTAATCTTGCTGTTTTGCCTTCAATGAGCTCTAAATCTTTGAATTTTTCAACAATCTTTGGAGCTTCAAACTCTTCAACAGCTGGAGGTGATTCTTCTGGTAATTCTATTTGTTTTCATAATGAAACAATATTTACGGTATAAAATGATGAAATAGAAAATGGAATCAATTGAACAAAACTATGAGATGAGTCTTTTAGATTCAGAATAATCACAGTTTGATAATCACTATAATCACTATGTAAGTTTTTATAGACATTGTGTATTTTGTTTTCATAGCCCATACATTTACTGTCTGTATAAAATGATATACACTTCATACAAAACAGTGATTGAATTTGCATTTTTGAGTAGTGAGTCTTTAATTACAGATGACACCCACTCTTGTACTAAAATGGGGGTTCCTCTCTAATATTATGTGATCAGAAAGCCGAGTATGGGAGTATCACAATAATTGCAAAAGTGCAATTGTCCTGCAAGTCAAAAAAACTCATATCATAAACCCATACATTTTGAATACATCATCATAGTAAGCAATGAGACAGTTGTTTTATCATAATATTTGAAAAAAAAATAACATTTGATAAAAGAGTTAGATAACATGCAGGTATGGCTCCATCTGAAAGACAGGAATTATGAGATTAGTGCTGTAACAGTAATTTGGCGAGTCTTGTAATAATAAAATGGTGATTGTGTGTACCCTCTACTCTGAGTTTAGCTCTGGTCACTGCATCGCCAGCTGGATTGACAGCTTTACAAGTATATCTGCCAGCATCATCTGGGAACACCTCAACAATGTCCAGGACAGCAATTTCATTTGTGTAAGTCTGCTTGAAGTCTTGTGATGGTTTGATTAATTCATCATTCCTGTAACAGAAAATAGGTACATTACTTATTTTTAGTGTAGGACAATACAACAACAGACATGCATTTATGACTGACTTTTACTTCAAATTTAACTTGAATGCGATTCCACAGGTGGTTGTGAACAGAACATATTAAAGTGTTTTCCAAGTTGACTTTATAATGTCCTACATAATAAATAGAAAATATTACTGTTGTGGAGTTATTCACTGATTAATAAACATGTTTTACCTGTACCAGGTGATGACAGGAAGTGGTTTACCAGTCACTTTGCAGACAAATTGAACAGGATCTCCATCAGTCGCATCCTATTGTGAAAAAATAATAAGAACGATATTGTAGAAGGAGAAATATTCACTCAATTTAGTATTAATAGGATTTGATGCTGCAGGTTTATAATTCACTGGTTTGAGAAAGAAATAATATAAGGTGCAGTTAACTTTTTCAAGTGATGCAGTGAAATAATTGAAACTAAAACCAAGTCTAAATATATATTTCAATTTTTTAATAAATCATTCATATCAACAAAATTTGACAGTGCTTGATTCTTATCTTATACAGACCTTTTTTGCATGGATAATACCATTTTTTTTTAGGATGGGGTATTAAATGTACACATCATTTCTTCCATAAAGGAAGCAATTATTCGTAAGATTCTGTGCTTTTTCAGTGGCTAATAATTTCATACAAAATGAATTGCATGATACCCACCCCCTAAAAATATTGGTATGCCCCTAATATAAATCATTTTTACCATCAGGAACCAAGTAGTGAATGTTTGAATTACTGGAGTTTAGACCTCCTCCTCACACTGACACATTGTTTTTTAAGTGACTGTTCAACAATAAAAGACTATTATTTCTATAAATTACACCATTGTAAATAAAATCTGATGTAGACTTACTTTATCCTTCAGCTGATCAATAAAGTATGGTGCCTTCAGTGCTAGAAAAAAAATCAAATTATTCAGAATAATACCGTACACATGGGTAGATAAAGAGCTACACATGCAGCTCCAAATATGGGGGAAGGTCAGTCCAAGGTGCATGGAATATCAACATGATGAAAGTTAGGTACTAGTACTAGTACTCATTCCATTTCCATAGACAGTTTGAACTAAGTCATGTGACAGGAAGTTGTTCTGTTTAATGAGCCACCTTTGTCCCGAGTGTGAAAATTGATGGTGAAAGACAATAGAAAAACTTGGCTAGTAGGTGATTTCAAACTTTGAAGGGCAAGTCGCAGAATGACTGCATGTATAGGTAAGCACATTGTTTGCAGAATGAATAAACACATGAGATTGTTAAATTACGTGTCTTTTTTGACATGTAAGGTAATATTTCCAGCAAAAGCATCAGCACAAAGCTGTTTTTTTAAGATGCTGTTTCTTTTTCTATCTTACAGTCTCAGGGACTGGAAACATCTAGTGCATTATAGTCCTAGCATTCAAAACTATATTACTTGTCAATTATAATGATTGAGTAGGTATTGTAAAGAGCATTTACAATAGTAACCAAGGAGTACAACAGATATAAACTCAAGTGCTGTAAACTTATAAAGATAACTGGTGATAAGAACCAGTTCCTTCATTGAGGGGAGGGGGGGGGGGATTAAAGACGATAATTGCAGTGTTTTTCTAATTCCTGTTTCAAAACTTGTATACTGACTTTATTTTAGTCCATGATTAATCAGTTCCTAATTATCAAGTGACACAATAGAAATTCTGTGCTAAATTTATCTGTGATTCATACTTCTCAATACCATATGTAAAGAAGGAACATTGGCCAGGCCAAGTATATAAATCATACTCATACTCACCTGATTTATTTATTTATTATCAAACCAGAGACAATATACTACTGCATGTGCAATGTTTTAAACTGGGAATGGGGTATCAAATTAATGAGGAGAAACTTCCAAGCCCAGGGATTGCACCAAAGAATCATGGGACACTATTGTTTATGTTGTTTACAAAGTTAATCTATCTTTTGTCATTGTCAATTTAATCTAGAAAGTAAATCTGTTGTGAGATAAGACTTAACTGGAAGTGCCCTTTTAAGGACATGAAGGAACACACAGTGAAGACACTTAATCACCCTATTTAAGTATATATTATTGTTTCTCATTATTCTGCTTATATTTTGTGTTTGTATGAATAACAGGGTAAGCTGCCTGTAAAAGAATGTTTACATAATAATGAAACATTCTTTTGTCTTTCACAACAGGAAGTTGTGCACATAAGTGAAATGCATCATGGGAGTGTCACCATCTTGTAGGGTATTTTCACTTTGCATGAACATGCAGAAAAATTCTCATCGACTCCTGTAAGCATCATGACAAACTTTGGATTTTGTACAGTTCATGAGAAATCTGTAACCCAGTTTCAGTGCATGCTGGCTTCATTGCTCAATGTTTCAGAATTTGATACCAAATCAATGATTTTATCATTTTTCATGATGATTACAATAATCAGTGAGAGGTGTTCTACATATACTACAAAGTGGGAATGTAATTTTAATAAAGTAGAGGAGTTGAAGATTTATGTAAAATTATGGATATTTTCGTTCAGCTATCTTTTCAAGAAGCTAATACCCATACCCATGAGATAAAACTATTGCAGTGTAGATGTTCAATTGAAGGATAGTTTTGTTTAGTGCATACTAACACCTAATTCTAATATCACATAAGAAACTGAGGTACAGAAATATAATTATCAAGATATAATACAGAATATGGTAAGAAGACATGCAAATAATGACCATACTTCAATGGATGGACTATTGCTCAAATAAGGAAATGAATTCAACCCCAATACTGTAAAATACTTTAATTTCGCTTGGAATTAATTTTCGCTTTTTTCGCTGAAGGAGTGATTTAGTGAAAATAAAATCCAGTGAATACACCTTTTTTCCTATATTTTACATTCAACTCACAAAAAAATCAGTGAAAATAAATTCCATACAAAACACCCAAAAAGTTTTTTCAGCGAAAAATTAATTCCAGCTAAAATACAGTAATCATAAACAACAACATTTATTACTATGGTTCTGAATAGTATTTTTTTGTGGAATCTTCAGTTACTACCATGATCTATTTCTAATTAAGATTAGCTAGATTAGACTGTAAATAATTCAATTGTGATTATTCATCATCTAAATAATAGCAAGTTGCTAGCTTGTATAATGAAATACAATATATCTGAAATCAAGTATTTGTATTTGTATTTATTTATTTGTATTTATTTATTGCTACTTTTGATTTTAAAATTGTGACATGAATTATTAATGATGGTGAGTAGACAAAATGAGGTTAAAGAAAACAGACAGAGAGAAATGATGGTGGTCAAAGAAAAAAACAGCAGGCAAAACACAAAGTAATAAAATAAATGCAAGCAAGACACAATCAGTTCAGTTATCATGCAATGTATTCAATATGTCAGTAATAACATAAAAATACAACACTATGTGATAATAATAACTTATAATATTCAACATGAATGCAAAATCAAATTGCAAAAAAATAATAATCGTCTATTATATATAATTCGAAGAAAGATACAATAATTTTTCATGGTGCTCCAATTTTATACAAATATGATGAATGATAACATGCATATTTCCACAATAATGTTCGAGCTACAAAAATGAAACGATGACTGTACAAACTATGAATACAAAAAATACACAACTAAAAAAATGATATATTGCATTATGGGTAACATTATTAGGCAGTTAATAGCGTGGTGGCAAATTTAAAATTTCATAAAACTGAAAAATGATGAGACAAATATCAAAATATACACCCTGTGATCCAGAATACAATAATGCTCTGTTTTCTTACTACTAGTATTAAAAAACAACAAAAATTACCAGTATATACAAACTCAAAATTTTCCAAGTAAATATTAGAGCATATATTAATTATTAATTTTTGATATGATTGTTAATAAATCACAGGAGTGAAATAATATTAAATATGCCAAAGGATTACAAATCAAATTTTAATGAAACTGCTTTCAATTGATTTTGTTTCTTCAGGTGCTATCACACATCATAATGTGCAGTGGAGTCAATTAAGACTAAAGAAAATATTCTCTTATTGTTAAAAAAAGTTTTATATTTTTTAAGAATAATAATTAAATGAAACACAACACAACACAAGAGTGATTAAAATGTTTAAAAAAACACATAATTAATTTTCACAAAGAACACAAATGAGTGAAATGTATCTTTGATTTGTGACTTGTATTTACTGACATAGCAACAATGAAATGTATTATGAGTATATGTATTGAATATTAGTAAGTTGGTAGAGTTATTGTTATGAAAAATAAAAGTTGAGGGAAAAGCCAAGAATGAATTAGTAAGTGTAATTATAACATTCATATCACACTGCTCCAAATATATTGCAAGTATTTACATTTTAATGTCATTGTTTTATTTTATACAAGCTAGCAACAACTTTTATTTTGTGGTGAAAAATCACTCAATGGAATGGAATGAGATTAATATATTATTGGTACAAGCACAGACATAAATCTATTCGTCTCAATTAAAGCTACAGTTGTTCACATATATAACAAAACTACTGGGTATAACCAATAAAACTTTACCTACCGGTATCTCATTATGTTATAAGAAATATTATGATATTAAAATACTATCCAAGGAATATTTATCATGAATTGGTTATGCTACAACACAATTAAAACATAATTTTGTGAGTACTGCCAATATTATCCTGTCTAGACCATCACTTCATTTGATTTATTTGTAGTAACAAATGTTTCAAGTGAGAATTGATTTCTCATCTACATTTTGTGACAACTGATATTTTGGTTACTTAACTGTACGTGTTGGATTTTTAGTGGGAGATTTATGGGCCTCTGTTGTTAGGGGTTACAAGATGAAGACAAGAACATAACACAATGCAATGAAGATAATGAGTAACAAAGCAATGTCCCATTCAAGAGGAAATGGTAGAATACCTTCTTGTGGTTCAGCAACTTTCTCAGCAGCTACTTCAGGTTCTGAAAAAGATTAGAATTAATGAGATTTTTGATTTGATAATAACTCAACTCTCCAACAATTTTTATTCAAAGCAAGTAAATAGTAAGCAGCAATCATTAGAATCCAAATCCAATAATCATCTATATGGGCAAATATAAAAAATAAGGCAATTGTGACAATTACTCACCTGGTTTTTTAAGAGTGTTGACAATGTCAGATTCTGGACTAGGTTCACTCACACCAACAACATTTTCTGCACTCACACGGAACACATATTGTGTATCTGGTGCCAAGTTTTTCACAGAGTACGTTGTGGTCTTGTTGCTAGTTGTCAATACAGTCCAAGTGTTTGTGGTCACATCACACCTCTCAATGATGTATGATGTAATGGGACTTCCGCCATCAGATGTTGGTGGCTCCCATGTCAGAGTCAATGTGGATGGAGTGATGTCAGAAACTTCTGGTTTACCTGGTGCAGAAGGTTTATCTGAAAGAAGAAACACAACTCATCAACTGGTTCTAACTGACGGTAGGCTGCTTGTCACTCAAATTTGTAGTCAGGAGACTTCAATAACTCAAATGTTTATTAGATTTTCAAATTTATTCTGGTCCTGACATGTAGTCATACTTATAGCAAGGTAGAAAATTTTCACTGGTCCATTTATATATAGTTCCCAATTGGACCATTTTCCGTTGACTGCGAAAATCGCACGTTATGCGTGAAATCGAACGTAAAAACAGGACAAACAAAGGTCATAGCGTCGTAGTGGCGTCAAACATCGCGTGGGATTCGACAAACGCGAAGTATTTTGGGGGACATTTCCATGCATAATAATGTGCTGCCCACATTTCATGATAGGCAATTTCGATTAAGTAAGGGTATTCGGAAGCAATATTCCTCTGTCGAAGATCGGCCGGTCGTTGTGAGTTACGAAATAAAGAAATTCTAGTTCAAAATCTAATTGTTCGACTTTTGCGGCAGAGGTTCGACGCGTGTCTTTCATACATCTCGCAATTGTACGGAAAATCACCTATTGGTGAAATGCACAGCACATTTTTACCTTCCAGGGATCATACAACCCCACCTGCCATAAACAGGCACACATGGCTTAAGTGCCAAATATTCCATGTTGGGTTCTTAATTCCACAAAGGTAGTTCCTTGCCAAAGATACAACACCATGGCAGGTTTTTTTCTGAAATGGAGAACAGGGGCGCAGCGTCCTGATACTCTCGGCTGACACCCCCTTACCGAATTGCCAATTGCCTTACCGAAAGTCATAAATATATTTCTTGAGCCGCACACTTCCGTGCTGCCGTACAACATGAAATCTTTCTCAAATATATTTTTCTCTCCAAAAACTACCCATCAACACCAAATAAACTAAAATTACTGCAAAAATATTTCATTAGCAATAGATACACTGTTAAAACGGCGCAGAAACTTTCCGATATGGCGGTTCCCTGTTGATCCGCCATGTTGTTTTTGTGCTAGCTACTCTCTTTCCACTCCTCGTATGTGTGTGCTCCCTCTTGTTCATTTTTTCTAGAAAAACCCCTATGGTATAGCCGGGACCAAATTGACAACTAACACACACCACCCAGCCACAGGATCATTCAAAAACTCACCATATACTGTAATTGTCAGTTTATGTTGATCCATCCCATGTTCATTTTCCACTTCCATTGAGAATTCACAAGAATCATCTGGCTGAATGTCTTCAATCGTTAAAATGGAATAGGTCTCTTTCACCTCAATAGCGTATCTACCTGTAGATTCTATCTCGTTCTTTCCCCGATACCAGAAAACATCTGGTTTGGGGATGCCACGGAAAGTACATTTGAGAGGGATAGTATGTCCACGTTTCACTGACATGTTAGCAGGCCCTTCTGTAATCTTTGCTGCCACTGTTGGGTAGAGAGAAGGCAGTTAAAGAGTTAAAAAGCTTTCATTGATGTCAGTTCATTTTGCCAGTAGAAATTAGTTGTGATTTTAGATAGACTTGGTAACATGTCAGTGAGAGTTTGCATGCATAGGCCTGTACTAGTAGTTTAATTTTGCTGCAAGCTGCAGCCATTGAAGCACCCCATCACCAGGCAACCACCATTTTAACAGGACTTGGGATTTAAGTGGAATAGTCTAGATGGCAGATTTTGAATATGGTGCAAATGGTTTCAACTCATGCAAGTAGCATTTCATCGTTTGAGTGCAGACAGAAACAAGAATCACACATGTGCACACATCACACACACAATGCAGATTAGATGTGCGGAAAAACAGCAGGCAGAAAAGCTTGATGGTGTTTAAATTATACAAAACAATTTGTTAACTATAAATTGGGCATTTTAATTTTCCTACAGATAAATTTCCATTAATTTTCTGAGAAACAGAAAATTTGTGTTGCAGCGAAAATTATATTGGTGTTCATTAGGCAATTACCAATAGACGGTCAGCATGACCTCCAAAATGTCACACACATCCATTTTAAGAATACAATTCACTATTAATGAGAATTCTCCATTATTTTACCTAAAAAATGAAAGCAGCTGTCATTTGTCGTTGAAGTTCAAGAATATTTAATGATAGCAAGGTATAATTTTGGAAATTATTGCTTTGATAGAGCATGAATGTCCCTATAAAGTACCAGGATGTGTGACCTTTAGGGGTCATACATAACACCAGGATGTGTGACCTTTAGGGGTCATACATAATACCAGGATGTGTGACCTTTAGGAGTCGTACATTGTACTAGGATGCGTGACCTTTAGGGGTTGTGTATAATGCCAATTGGTCATTGCCTAATAAACCCCAATTTTATTTTCACTGCTACACAAATTGTCTGTTTCTCGTAAAATTAATGGAAATTTATCTATAAAAATGAATGTTTGGTAACAGTACCGGCAGATATCACACTGCAGGGATGTCATAACAAGTTTCCAAAACTTTAATATCCACGAATCTATCAAATTATTAATAATATATGCCATGCAAAACAAGCTATGTGCCAAAGTGCAGAGAGAATGTTTTAGGTACATAATGCATAAATAAACAGTAGATTAGTTAATGTATTAAAGACAAAAAGATCTTCAACCTTGTCCACCCCTACATGTATTTGAATGGCTAAGCCCCTATGTTGACAAATATAGGGTTATACGAAAGTGTGAGGGTGAACATGTTGAAGCAAATACAAAAGCGGTTCCAAAATAGTACATGTACAACCAAAAGATTTTACTACAAGGGTGACAGCATATTGATAACAGGCGCGGGAGATTGGAAGTTTCAGGTATATTGGAATAAATTATGAGCATGCAAGACTGAAACATTATGAAGAATCTGAAGGTGAAAGGTGAACTGGCAAAGCAGAATCATGTGAAATGGTCAATATGTCACTACAATTGCATGTCAATCTTCCATGAAAAATGTACAGGATTCAATGCAAGCAATTCAGTTCACATTAACAACATTTATTTCAAACTAAAAAAAGTTATATCCAGTAATTGCTCAAAAAAAAAAATTGAAGCTAAAGATGGATAGTTTAGGGATCAATGCACTTAAATTAGCATGGATAAGTTTGCTATAATTCCAGATAAAAAGAATGCAAAAGCAAAGCATAAAATAAGAAAAGACTACAAAAAATTACTGCTTGCCAAGCCAATACTAATCTCTACAGATGATATATAATAATTTACTTGATTATAGTACATCTAAGGCATATATAATTCATATTTATGTTGAGTTATTAGTTCCTGAATAGTGCCAAATTCAAAATTAGAATTCAATATTTGTAAGAATGTTACATAAACATCATAATTTACAATCATAGCTGTAACAACAAGTCTTTTATTAATTGGCAAACTCGGCATTTTAAAATAAAATCATTCCACTTTTATATGCTAGGCATATACAAATTTATATGCTCAAACACAAATTCAATTTCTTCAAATCACAAGCATAAACAGTTCCGAAATTAAAAGTAACGATTATCCTTCAAAAGGTAGAGTGTGTTTTTTTTTCAGGAACATGTAATTATAAAAATATTTTATAGAAGCTGCGATTTGGATCAACTGGATGAAGATAAACCATACCTGGGAAGAAGCAAAAAAAGAACCAGAAAGGGTATAAGCAGCGAGCTGAAAATGAGAAGAATATAGTGCAGCAGCTGTTGGCAAGACTATGCCACTGAAGTTCTATTTACAAAATAATGAAAAACAAGACAGCAAGACTAACCTTGTAAGATGAGTTCAGCAGATGTTGATGCTTCTCCCACTTTGTTGGTTGCTTTACAGGTGTAGGTAGTAATATCATCCAAACCAAGATTATGCAAAGTTAGCATACAAACTCCATCATCGGTGTACTCAATCACTGTGCGGGCAGTTATCTTGACTTTAGCTTTTTTCTTGAACCACTGCACATCTGGTCTTGGTAAACCAGTGACTTTACACTTCATAGTGACACTAGTTCCTTCAAAGGCATTGGCTGGTTCAAGTTCCTGCACAAACACAGGTGGTTCTTGTAGAATTGTGATAGTGCACACAGCTTTGTCCTCACCTAGATCGTTAGTTGCTTTGCACGTGTATTTGACCACAGTCCTTTTGTTTCAATTCATTGACAATAAAACTGTGTTCATCTTTTTCATCGTCATAACTGACATTATACTCGGCTCCTTGTTGGCAGTGTTTCCATCCTTTAAACCATCCAATGGTGGGGTCTGGATTTCCAGTCACTCGACATCTCATTTCCGCAGGAACACCTTTTTAAACAAAAAAAGTTCACATTATTGTAACAAGAAACACATTGTATATCTCCAGTACTATGCCGAAAAGAAATGACTCTTTAATTTTGCTCTCTAAGACCATTACTGAAGCTTTACCAGGGTCTTGGGGATATCATGTGGAATATTTGATGATCTGAATAGCAATTAATTGCGGAAAATAGTTGCTATTTCACATGGATGTGTCTTTTATTCTGAATTAATAGAAAGGATGGTGATTTTGATTACATTATCAAGAGCATGGCACAGACATCACATGTCATCTAAACACATTCACATGCAAATATGAAATATATTGTTTACTGCATATACACTTTGGACTTTACACTAGCTCTGTATTGTGTACGTGGCAAAAAAATATTGTATCATATCTTACACTTATCTGATATTATCAAAAAGAGTTGCAAAATAAAGAGAGACTCACCTTCAGGAGCTGAAATATCATTTGGTTTCACAATGAACATTGGTGGCCTCAAAGCAACTGTAAACAAATCCAATAAATCCAATGTTATGATTGTAATAACACGGTTAATCATGTGCAAATTAAGAAAACATAAAAGTTAATAATTAATCAGACTACATGTAATAAGCCATGAAAAAAAGATGTCTTCTACATGAGCTAAATATATTAAGATAATAAATAAAACTTTCAAAATTGAAACATACCTTCCACAATAAGTTGAGCTTTAGTAATGGCTTCCCCGACAACATTAGTAGCTTTACAGGTGTACATGTTTGCATCTCCAACACTGGCAATCTTGATAACCAAGACACATACACCACTATCACTGTACTCAATCCTAACATTTTCTCTCTCTTCAATCTCAACACCTTCAAGATACCATTTCACTTCTGGATGAGGTCTTCCAATAACTTGGCATTCAAAGTGTACCATCTTTCCTTCAGTAACAGTTATGGTTTGTAGTTCCTTGGTGAACACAGGGGCTTCTTTAGCAGGTTCAATAATGACCTCAGCTCTTGTGACTGCTTCACCTGCAGGATTAACAGCTTTACACATGTACTCAGCTTCATCCTCAGCAGTAGTGTGTTCAATGTCCAAAGTAGACTCCATTTCTTTGGGGCAGCCAATTCTAAGGTGATCATCTGCAGCAACCTCCACATCATCTTGATACCAGGTCATAGTTGGCAGCGGTTCTCCTTTAACCTCAACATCCAGATGCAGCTGACAGCCTTCTTCCACTGTGATAGGGACCAACTCCTTCACGAAAACAGGAGGGGTCAAGTCAAGAACTTCTTCAACCTTTTCTTCCACAACTGGTTTCACCTCTTCCTCAACCTCAGGTTTCATTTCCTCCGCTGGTATTTCTACTGCAAAATCAACAGTGTCAAATTTATCTTCTGGCTTTTCTTCCTCAATTTCTTTCTTGAGAGTAAACTCAACCTCTTCCTCAGGAACATCAACCTCAACTTTCACAGGCTGAACTTTCAATGTAACCTCAAGTTGTTCATCAACAGGTGCTTCGACTGCCATCTCAGTTTTCACAGTCACTTCTTCCTTAACAACTTCGTCTAACGCAGGAAGAGCTTCTGCAACTGGTGTCTCATCTTCAACTGCAATCTCAGTTTCTACAGTTACTTCTTCCTTCATAACTTCTTCCATAACTGGAACTGCTGCTTCAATTGGGGCTTCTTCTTCAACAAACTCAACGACCTCTTCCACTATAGGCTCAGGTTCTGGGACTGGTTCTGAAATACAAAATATTAACAATGTAAATATCTCACACTGTCAATGCTTAAATAATTATTAATAATAATAAATAATTTGTGATCAATTGCTCTCTTATATGATGAAAGTCAGAGATTCATAGATGTCTTCAAGCAGCATTTCCAATGATAATACAAAGCATTAAGATCATTACATATTTTTTAACAATGTCAGACCAATGCAACATGATATAAACCAAGAACAATACTGTTCATAAACAAATATTTAGCAATGTTAGGTTGATTATTAACACATCACTCCATGCTACTTACCAGGTGTTGTTGGCTTTTCAATTAGTGTAACTGTAAAACTAGCTTTTTCTTCACCCAAGTCATTTGTAGCTTTACACACATATTTACCACCATCTTTAGGTTTGCTCTCTTTAATAATAAAGATGTGTTCATTGGTGTCTTTATCAAAAGTCACAGTGTATTCATTGCCTTCTTGACAGTGTTTCCATCCTTTGAACCAGCTCACAGTTGGAGTTGGGATGCCATGGACTTTGCAGCGAATCTCAGCAGGATAAGCTATATAACAATCAAATAACATAATATCATTATAGGTAGGTTTGAAAATGAAATGACACAAATGGTACTTATGCTTATAAGTAATCTACTTGTCTATGATCAAAGCTACTTTTCAATAATCAAATCATTTTTTTATAATAATCATAGAAGATAAACTCACTTTTGACAGCTTCTTTGTCTTCAGGTTTAATGACGAATGTTGGTGGGCATTTAGCAGCTGAAGTAAAAAAAAAAACAAGTAAATAAGATAACCTGATTGTGATAGAAACTTTAAATAGTTAACTGAATTAAGCATGGGAACTTATTCATATTTAACAATCAATGTTACTAATAAATAACTTACGCAGAACAAACAGTTCAGCTCTGCAGGTTTCAGATCCTACTTTATTCACAGCCTTCACTTCAAATTCTCCTTCATCATCCATACTGACTTCCACAATTTTCAAAGTACAGATGCCACTCTCACTGTATTCTACCACATAATGGTCATTTTCATCGATTTGGACACCATCCAAATACCATGTCACTTCTGGTCTTGGAGATCCTGTCACTTCACATTCGAATACAACACGTTGTCGTTCTTCAACTTCTTGTTCTTCAATTTTTCTGACAAACACTGGTGGTTCAAGAGCTTTTTCAATCTCAATGGCTTCTTTTCTGGCTTGGAAACCTCTGAATGCAGCTTGAATCTGAACAGCAGCTTTTTCAACATCTTTGTCTTCTAAATCAATGTCAATAACTTCCTCTTCATCTCCAACTGGTGCTTCAATCAAATCAGCCTCTACTAAAGTTGGTTTGGGTTTCTCTTCTGGTGTCAGCTCCAGTTTAAAGCTTACTTCCTCTGATGGCCCTTCAAATTCTACTTCAGCAGAGGTAAC